TGTGTTGTGTGTGTGGTGCGTTGCGCGTTTCATGTTTCGTCTTCCGCGCGCTGCCTTCTGTTTTGTGTGTCTGTTGCGTGTCTGGTCATGTGCGCTGTACTTGGTGGTGTGTTCTGGCGCGCTTCGGTGTGTCGTGTTGCGTTGCGCTGTGTTCTGGTGCGTTATGTTGTCTCGTAGTGCGTTCTGTTGTGTTGTTGTTGCTGCTGTTCTTGTTGCCGTTGCTGTTGCTGTCGCTGTCGCTGTCGCGGTTGCTGTCGCTGTCGTTGTCGTTGTCGCTGTCGCTGTCGCTTTCGCTGTCGCTGTCGCCGTCGCTGTCCCTGTCCCTGTTGCTGTCGTTGTCGTTGTCGCTGTCGCTGGCGTAGTCGCTGTCGCTGGCGTTGACGTTGTCGTTGTCGTTGTGTATGTCGTTGTCGTTGTCGCTGCCCTTGTCGTTGTCGTTGTCGCTGTCGTTGTCGTTGTCGTTGTCGTTCTCGGCGCCGGCGCCGATGCCGTTGCCGGCGCCGTCGCCGTTGCCGTTGAAGTTGCCGTTGCCGTTACCGTTGTCGTTCTCGTTGTCGGTGTCGTTGTCGTTGCCGTTGCCGTCGCCGTTGCCGTTGCCGTTGTCGTTGTGGTTGTGGTTGTGGTTAGGTTGCGGTGGTTGTTGTTGCTGCTGCTGTTGTCCGCCGACATTGCTCGGCGTGTCGGATACTTACTAGAGGATAGAGGATAACCCCCCCCCTAACCCCCCCCCGCCCGACGTCTATTACGTAGGTTTTTGGGGGGGGGGGGTCCCCCACGTACCGCGCGGCAATTTGATGACGTTCCACTAAACGTAGTCTTCGGGGAGCCGGTGTCGCAAAACAGGGGTCCCAGGCTCGATTCCCCCTGCCGGCTTTTTTGCTGGCTTGGGCTTCCTGCATCCTTTTGCCGAAAATCTGGAAAAACTCAATGTTTTTGGACGTCCTCTTTGCGAAAACGCTGGAAAACCGTGTTTTTTTTGCGGGAAATACTGGGGAGCAAAGGGGAAGTGCAAGGATACATACATACATACATACATATACATACATTACATGCATACATGCATACATGCATACATTACATGCATACATACATACATGACATACATACATATGCATACATACATACATACATTACATACATACATACATACATACATACATACATACATACATACATACATACATACATACATACATACATACATACATACGTACATACATAATACATTACATACATACATACATACATACATACATACATACATACATACATACATACTACATACATACATACATACATACATACATACATACATACATACATACATACATACATACATTACATACATACATACATACATTACATTACATTACATTACATTACATTACATTATGCATACCTACATACATACATACATTACATACATACATACATTACATACATACATACACATACATACATTACATACATACATATTACATTACACACATACACATACACATACACATACACATACATTACATACATACATACATACATACATACATACATACATACATACATTACATACATACATACATACATACATACATACATACATACATACATACATACATACATACATACATACATACATACATACATACATACATACATACATACATACATACATACATGCATACATGCATACATTACATACATGCATACATACATACATACATACATACATACATACATACATACATACATACATACATACATACATACATACATACATACATACATACATACATACATACATACATACATACATACATACATACATACATACATACATACATACATACATACATACATACATACATACATACATACATACATTACATTACATACATACATACATACATACATACATACATACATACATACATTACATACATACATACATACATACATACATACATACATACATACATACATACATACATACATACATACATACATACATACATACATACATACATACATACATACATACATACATACATACATACATACATACATACATACATACATACATACATACACATACATACATACATTACATACATACATACATACATACATACATACATACATACATACATACATTACATACATACCATACATACATACATACATACATACATACATACATACATACATACATACATACATACATACATACATACATACATACATACATACATACATACATACATACATACACATACATACATACATACATACATACATACATACATACATACATACATACATACATACATACATACATACATACATACATACATACATACATACATACATACATACATACATACATACATACATACATACATACATACATACATACATACATACATACATACATACATACATACATACATACATACATACATACATACATACATACATACATACATACATACATACATACATA